GAAGGATAAATTGCAGGAGACTTCCTGGACAATGACCTTCAAATGGACGAGTTGCCAACCACAAGGTCAAATCTACGGACTGAGTGAGGGGACCAACATCTGGTGCTTCCTACGGAGTTTCATGTAGATGCAGGTTATTTCAGCAAATGGCTATTTGCCCCAGGTAGGGGGCGCTTTATAAAGGCTTGAAAGGATCGCCTATTACCTCTGTCACTCCAAGTCCAGAGCTGGTATCTAGAAAGATCCATCTAAGTGGAAGAATTCTTCACTATTAGAAAGATTTCTAGGCTGGTCATCTGATCGCTGTCCTTGGAAGTCTAGAGAAGGTCTGTCATATCACCTTCTGGGAGACAGAAGGGAATTCTGTGCTGAAAAAGGTTGGTCTAGAGAGAACAAGAGCAACGGTTCTTTTATACCTGAGATATTTTCACTCTTCAACACATGACTACACTTTCTATGATCTGTTTTAATCACTAAAGCAATGAAGTGCCAGCAAGCCCATAAGGTCCAGGAATAGATCTGACTGTCTTTCCATAAACCAGATCACCTGGTAGCATTTGCGGGGGCCTGGCCACCTCAAGGAAAATATTTTGACAGTTTCACAAAGGGCGATGCGATTACCGTGAGGGTGGCCCCAGCCTGAACCGACTCAGCTGGCCTAGCCTCCCTCTTGCATTCATAGCTGTGACCTCCTGCTGAAAATGAGCTTTACATCAACTCGGTCCTGCTCAGGTAGGGCCTCCCTGGTGGTGCAGGCGGTTGAGCGCCACACTGTGAAGCTGTCCGCAGCCTCTGCAGCTCAGGTTCAATCCTGGCCAGCCAGCGAGAGTCCCACATGGTGCGCAGACCTCTCCTGCCGCACCCGCTGCTCCCCTCAGCAGTGTATTTTGTCAGTCTGCCTGTTCTGCTCTCTGCTCTGGTTCTGGTGAATCCTCTCACCCTCCCGCGCTTCTGACTGTACCCAGTGCTTGTATAAATAAGTAAATAAATCTTAAAAAAAATTTTTTTCAAATAAAAAAATTAAAAAATAAAATAAAATAGTATCCCACTACAAAATAGTTCATTTCTGAGATTTTAAAAGCTGACCCCAATGCAAAGAGCCTTTCAGTACTGGGTCCTTAAATGAAGCCCTTGCAGGCCGTGAAAGCGTCTGTCTCCAAGGCTGTGTTATCCAAAAGCAGGCAAAGGCCTTTCCTCCTTCATTTACCTTTTCGTGCAGCAAGTATTTATGGAGCCCCTGGTTCCCAGGTGAGCAAGCCCTGTGCTCAGGCTGGGGAAAGCAGGTTTTGACAGATAATTGCACACGGAGTTGATGGAAATTGTGATAGGCGCCCTCGAAGTGCTTTTTAATGCCATTTAATTGAATTGTCATTGAGGGGAGCTTTGTGAGTGTGCGAATGCCGAACACATTCGCATTGAAAGTGCTGTCTGCTGGGAGGGTGCGGGCCGAGATCCGTGATTGCTCACTGCTGCAAACACTGGCTCCAGCACCGCCCCCCACCCCCTCGCCGCCAGCCCCTGCCACCAAAGCCCTGTGCCTTCCTGTGTGTGTGTTTTCACCTCACACAGTGCTGAACTCTGCCAGCCTCTGACCCTTCATTTTGCTTTGTTTTCTTGTTGCTATTGCAGCTTCTTGAGGTCTCTGCGGCAGTATCGTTTCTCCCTGAACACAGAATGTGTCCCTGATCACATGAGTCTGAGGACAGAAATAAGGCAGTAGGGGAAATTCCAAATTGGGCTCATTTTCACGGGCAAAAACCCAACATGGGGCTTCCTGAAACCAGCATCGCAAGGCAGACAGTAGCTCGCGGTGCGGGGAGGGGCTGGGGGCGCATCACCAGGTGGAATTGTCGATCAGTCAGTCAGTGAGTCCCCTGGATGGTGCCCCCACTTCCCGAGAGGCCCGCCCCGGCGCTGGCCAAGCAGCCGAGCTCGGTTACACAGAACCACCCGTCATTCTCGTCTTGACATCTTTGTGGAGTATTTGTTTTTCCACGGCAGCTTGTTTGCCATAATCCTCCATCTGTCGACCGCACTCTCCAGCGACACCCGGGCCGAGCGTGGTGGCTGAGTCAGAGGCCAAACAGAAGGAATGTTCCACGGTTGCTAACTGTCCCTTTTGTTGGAAATTTGCGTTCATTTCCCTTTTACATGTTTGGCAAGTGGATGTGTTCGGGGACCTGTGGCTGAAGTTATTTGCATTATTGCCTCTCTCCAGCTCTTCCTAAGCACAAATATACAAAGGATGGAATTTGAAGTGACCATTGGCGTATTAAAAAAAAGCCCTCCATGTGTTCAAAGGTAGAAATAGATCATAAATCTTAATAATAACAAAGACATCTGTTTTTTAATCATTTTATATTAGTAAATGAATAAATGAATTACTAAACAGGCAACAGACATAGTTCTAAATGCACATGGACCATACGTTTCTAGCCATATGTGATCTGACCCTGTGTACACACACACGTACACATGTGTGTGTGTGTGTCTACACGTACTTGCTCATCTACTGTTTCTTGACATATTGTCATGTAAATCTCAATTACATGATTGGATACGCGGCTCCTTTAGCAAAATCGGCCTCCAAAGACTGAAATCTGGGAACAGTTATTTCTGGGCCAGCCGCCGGACGACCATTTCAAGTGTAATCACGTGGAGTCTGCCACCACCGAGCCTCTCACCAAAGCCGCCGCCATGCATTAAGCACCTACTGCATACACGGAACTGTCCCAGGAAATGTTTGTGTGCCACACAGATGCACACACATTGCTCACCCAGCCATCGAAAGTCAAACCTCCCTGCTCCTCTTCTGGGTAGAAAATGAAGACAGAACTAACATTCTGGCTCCAGCCCAAGACAGCACAGCTACTAAGCGGTGCTGGGCAGCACCCCCACCCCACCCTCCTCTCCTTGCTTCATCGCTGCTGCCCACCTCCTCCTGGGCCAGGCGCCTGGTGTGAGGGAGGGTGTCCTGGGCTGGGACCAAGACGCACCCCCGACTCTCGCCGGGTAAAGCGGCTGCGGCATCCACGCAGTGAGAGCAGGCGAGGGGCGAGCCGGCCTGGGGCTGGCTCTCGGGGCCCGCCCTGCGTGTCGGGGAAGGCTCTGCGTCCTGACGGCGCGTCTGTGCCTCCCACGCCCGGGATCCTGGACACCGTCTCATCCACAGTGGTGCCGCCACTTCGGTGCATTTTCTCAATACGCTTGGCTTTGAAAAGCCTGTGCAGACAGTGCTGTCCTTCCTGCCCTTCACCTCACACCAAAACCAGTGCTAGACGCAACACCGAGCTCACTTCCTCAGCCCTTTTTATTCTCGAGGAAACACTTCATTACCAGAGCAAAATGCCAGTGTCTACGTATTATATTGTTCGGTGTTTCTCACCCCAAAATCATCGTCTAAGGTGTTTGCCAAGGCAGTCAGAGCTTCACATTTACTCTCCCAAAACAAAGTAAGGGTTGTCACCTGCTAACCCAGCCGAGAGTGGAGAGAAGGGGCATGTCCCCGTCGTGTCAGCTTCTACCCTGTGCCCGGGGAAGGATTTTTTACTTGGTAAGTCACCTGCGAAAGTGAACAAATTACCGACTTTCTTCTGCTAGAAGCGATTCGGCAGCTAACCTGTTTCTTGTCTGGTCTTTTCTTTGACCATTTTGACAATCTTTGTCTTTTAATCCAGAAGATTCAGCTTTTAGCAGTTGCCCTAAGACTCAGCATAGAGAAGTCCTCGGTTAGTGTCCCTGACAGGGTCTTGGAAACGTCAACTTTAAGAGCCCAACTTGAAGGATGTACACCAAGGCAGATTTTCCCGGAGGCAAAAACCAAGTTCCCGAGCCACATTTCTGGTCACAGAAACATCCCCAAACTTCTAAATAAAACCCCCAAACACTTCTAGTATTAAATAAGCATGTGTATTCATTCATTCATTCGTTCATTTTTCACCCTGGTCATTTCAGTTCAGGGTCTCAGGTGGTCAGAGCCTCTCCAGCAGCTCAGGGTCAAGGGAGGACCCCACTCTGACAGGACCCCTCCCATCCCAGGGCCACCACACCCCCCCAGAATGCAGGGAGCAGTTTGGGTCTGGCTCCTGGCACTTCCAGACACACTAAGTTTGCGCCTGTCCGTCCCCACGCGATGTGCAGAGAGGAGCCGGGCCCTCCTCGCTCTTCTGAAGCACCGTGAGCCTTCCAAGCCTGCCCCCCACCCGGGGCTACCTGCCCCATCCACCCTGTTTATCCCGCTTCGCTGCAGCTCCCAGGTGCTTCGGGTAATTACCCAGTCTCCGCTCCCGGTGTTGATGTTTGAGCGATCACCGACATCAATCCTTCCCCTTCTGTCTTAGGAGAGAGCCGGCATACAAATTCTGAGACGAACCTCATTTGAAATTCTGTTTCTTATTTTGCCTGACATTGAAATCAGTCAAATTATTTCTCAAACTTGAGGGATGTAAAGGACCGCTTGAAGGGGGGCCGGGGGGATCCTGCTAAACTTCTAAGGTTGAATGAAATTATTCCGTAAAATAAGATTTTTTAATATAAATTGAGAGAGACACATTGCCTGCTGATACAACTAGAGCCCAAATGAAAATGTATGAATCAGATGAAAAGGAAAACACAAATGCCAAAGTGCGCAAAGAAACACTGGATTTCATGGTGCAGATGCTGTCGTCTGGCTGGAAGGAAATGCAGCTTGGGGAGCAAGTGGCCTGCAGGGCTGTGCCGGGGTGAAAGGGGCCCACCCAGCTCTGCGCCCCGGCCCACGCCAGGGTGTACCTTGGGGGGCCGGTGGCCGCCTGGGCCGAGACCACCTGGTGTCCTAGGGTCCCGCGAAGGCCACATCGCCCTCGGGAGGGGAGGACCTGGGGCCAGGGTCCCACGGCACCTTCCTGCGGCCTCAGGGCAGCGGGCGGGCAGGCAGCTCTGGTCAGTGCAGTGAGAGCTGCGGGAGCGCAGGCCCCCCGGAATGGCCAGAGCCGTTTCTGATGAGTCCTTTTCTCCCGCAGCTGGCTGCCGCAACTCCTTGATTAAAGAGCTCCATCACTTCAGGATTCTTGGGGAAGAGCAGGTGAGTCCGCCCCGCGCCGTCTGCACCCAGGGCCGCGAGAGACTGACACTAACGAGACAGTTGGGCCGGGGGAGGCGGAGTGTGGCTCTGACCCTGGGGGGCCCGGCGCGGGGGAGAAGCCTGCCAGGGGGTGTGTGAGGACACCTTCGCCGGGCCTATCCATCAGGCCTGACAGGTTAGTAATTGGTACATCTGCTGCCTGCCAGCGCCTCGCCTCAGGACGCCGTGGGAGCGAGCCGCGGAGCAGAGCAGCAGCGCCGCGCCCAGACGAGCGGCGCCCGAGGGGGCTCCGTGGCAGCCCCGGGTGCTGTCTGTGGGGTGTGCAGCTGTCACCGGGCTCCTGCGCTCGGTGTGGTCTCTCGATCCCACCGCAGGCTATTCCGGGGGTGTGGACACGCTTCTCACACGCAAAGAATGGCCGGCTTAGAGCAAGTCATTGCGATGCCGTGGTTACTCCGTGAGACGATCCTGTCAGATTTTAAATAGCGGCGCCAGGTGACTAAGGCACTGCCAGGTCTGCCTGTACATCGGCATACTCGCCCTTGCTCAGAAATAAACTTCGGAATCCTTGTATGAAATCACAGTCTCTATTCCGTCACCCCTCGGCGTCGTCATCCTGGAAGGCACCTGGTGGTTGACCAGCCCTGCCCGCCCGACCCGCCCTTGGGCTTTGCTCCTGAAGTTGGTCTGGGCCGACTCTGGCCAGAGGCCAGGAAAATGAGGGCATGGCAGCTCAGTGCTGTCGAGTGTTGGGTTTGTGTGTTTTTCTTCGCTACCTGTGATGTAAGGTTGGATTCCTCACTTCCAACTGAGATTAGACACAGAAGGGTGGTGATGAGGGCAGGATAAGGAACTGGAATCGCTTTAACTCCTGGAGTTAACAGGTGACAATCTGCCTCCTTCATTTTTTCGTGCTGCAGATTCCAGAATAGCAGGCATAAATGTTTACTCAAACAGAAACAAAATCAATTATCCGGCAAGACTTGATCGCCAGCCCTCACCCCTCCCAAACATACCTGTTTGTGAAGACACCTGTGCCTCCCAGCCGTGTTCCCTGAAAGCCTGAGGGGGTTTCTCGAGGCAAGAGTCACTGGTTGTTACCCTGACATTTCGGCTCAGATAATGGAGCCTTCTCTTCTAGCTTGTGCCAATATTTGCAAATTGTTTCCATATTTGTTTTAAAACCACTGGGTGATTAGGAGGGAAAGAAGCCAACTGTAATCATCTCCTCGGATTTGCATAAAATTCAGGCCACTTCGTAGTCGCCTAAAATTTAATTGAGCCACAATCAAAATCAATATTACTCTGATTAGTTGTGCTAAATGACAACACGGTGCATCACAACAGCAGTGATCTTCATTTCCTGGAAACACATTTCCTTCCATCCTCCTGTCCTGCGAGTCAGCAGATACCCCCTGGGCACCTGCTACGTGCTGGGTGCTGCTCTCAGTTATGGGGACAGGGCCGTGGAAAAGAGATTCGCTGAGGCGCCCGTTGCCACTGGCTATGCCGTTACACTCACATGTCCGAGGATGGAATGGCAGATTGTTGTTGGTGCCGCAGAGAGAAATAAAGGGAAGAGGTGACATTTATAAGTCTCGCGCAGGGGACATGTGAGGAAAGACACGAGCACTGGAAAGGAAAGCGTCGTGGGGACCTCTGGGAACAGAGATGAGTAGAGGACGAGGCAAGGCAGAGGCCCTGAAGCCACCCGATGCCGGCTCATTCCAGGGAGCAGGGCCCGTGTGCCGGGGGGTTGGTTTCTAGAAGAGTCCAAGAGACGCGGGTGTTGGCTGAAGACGAGGCTACGTGGCGTGGAGATTGCACAGAAGGCGCGGTGCTGGCCAAGGTCGGGGGCGCCCAGCAGTGTGGGCAGACGGGTCAAGATAGAGGATGAGGCCAGGGGTCCAGGAGGCGTCGCCGTGTGGGCACCGAGACCACCAGAGCAGACTTGGAGTCATGGTGGTGAGTTGGCACCTGAAGCCTCCAGGATGGCGGGCGCCAGGGGAGGAGACCCGTGGCTGGTGGCAGAGAAGGAAGGACGCGCGGCGGAGCGTGTAGTTTAAAACCCAAAGCGGGAGGGTTTAGAAAGAGAAAGGAAAATGGTTCTACCTGGGGCAGCGCAGAGCTTGGTGGCACGAAGCGACACCAGGAGGCTCCGAGGGGCTGGAGGGCCGCAGCTGTCCTCACGGCCAGTTTCCATGAGGAGAATTTGAGGAAAAGGCGAGAGTAGGCTGAAGTTACAGGCATCTCCCCTGACTTACCTGAGTTCCCCCAGCAGGGGCCTGGGCTCAGGACTTGGGGTGCCTGCAGCCAGGGTAGGGAATGGGGAGTACAAAGACGTATGTGAGGTTGGGGTGAGACCAGACAACGTGGGGACCAGGGACCTCTCCGGTGACTGATGTGAAAGGACGGAGCGGGGACACGTGTGTCCTGGGGGTAACAACAGCAGCTGTGGCCTGGGAGCACATGGCGGGGGGGCTCCAGAGAGGGAGCACAGGGCTCCTGCCCGTCGGCCCGACCCGCACCAGGAGCTGGGGAAGCCCTCGGGCGCCTCAGGTACTTGAGGAACTTTCATCATTCCATGGTATGAATTTTTATGCTGATGTTACAGGGGCCTCGAGCAAATCTCCGGACTCCCTAGCTAGCCTTCAAGAGGAAAAGGGACCCTCAGTCGCCTCTTAGAATTTTTGGAAAGAAATAGAATTATAACATTAAGCGCTCCGCGGAAGTATTACTGATTGAAGTGCTGCTCATACTCCCCCAATAGCTTGAGTTAGTAGCAACAGGTTGACACTAAAATAAGTGGAAATTTCACTAGGAAGTGTGAATGGAAACAAAGCAAACAACCCAGTCAAAAAATAGGCAGAAGAGCTAAAAAAAAACTTCTCCAAAGAGGAAATGTAAGTGGCCAACGGGCATATGAAAAAATGCTCAGCATCGCTAGTTGTCAGGGAAATGCAAATCACAGCCACAACGAGATTCCACCTCACACCGGTGAGAACGGCATATATTTTTAAAAACTGGCAACAGCAAACGTTGGCAAGACTGTGGAGAAAAAGGAACTCTCCTACGCTGCTGCTGGGAGTGCACACTGGTCCAACCACCATGGAAAGCTGTCTGGGGATTCCTCAGTCTCCTAAAACATGGAGCTTCCATCGGATCCAGCAATTCCACCCCTAAGAATCTACCCAAAGACACAAAAACATTAACTCAAAAGGATGCCTGCACCTCTGTGTATTGCAGCACTGTTGACAATGAGCTGTGGAAACAACCCAAATGGGCAAAAGCAGATGACGGGATGAAGAAGATGTGGTCCATAGACACGATGGAATATTCCTCAGCCATCACAGAAGTTAAACTCATGCCATTCACAGCAACACGGATGGAGCTGGAAGGGATGATGCTCAGTGAAATAAGCCAGAAGGAAAAGAAAATATGTGATGGTTTCACTTATAGGAGGAATAGAGGGGGCCCAGATAAGGGATCAGGGAAAATATATATGTAATAATAATAATAATAATAATAAATAAGCAAAACCAGCAGGCAGCTATAAATCAGAGACATTCTGCAGCGGGGGAGGGAGAGGGATCCAGACAGGGGCGGGAAGAGCACCAGGGACTGTGGTGACGGTGCAGGGTGAGTCGGTGGTAGGAATTCTGCGGGGACTACATCTGAGAGGAGAAAGCAAACGTTGTGCAAAAATGAACAATGATGTAAAACACACATATCTTAGCGTCATTTGGTAAATTATTACATATATGAAAGAAAAGAAAATGTGAGTGGATAAAACCCACACAGGTCCTGTTTAGTCGCTGGATCCGTCACCAGGCGGTGGAGACACTTCCCAGTCCCCCGGGTCTGTGCATGTGGCCCCTTTAGAAAGCACTTGACATTTGCCATCTGGATTAAAGATAAATCTCTAAACGCTGTAAGTCATTACCTACTTCATGTAGAAGAAAACCCTTGGGGATTTAAAATAATCCGTATCCTTTAGCTTCCTGCCCCTTCTCTGATTTGGATCCGCAGCTCGTATTCACGAAGCACCTTTCCGCCCCTCCCCCTTCTGCCAGCTTCCTGGCGAAGCTCCTGGCACAGTGTAGGTAAGCTAAGCTCACCCAGGGTTCTAGGAGAGCCAGAAAGAAAACAGGTGTGACCCCTGGGAGCCCACAGGGAGCTTCTAGGAAGACTGCATCTCAGAGCAACTCCCTCCCACCACTCCCCGACCTTAGGCTCACCCCCAGAGTTCCCAGGAAACAGCTTTCATTCATTCAACAGGCACTGTAGATCCTTCCCGGCGCATGGCTGTGCTCATGGTGGGTAAATGCCGAGCATGGACGTCATAGGCCCAGATTACGCTAAGACGGAAACAGTGATTGGGGTGAGGCCTGTTTGAGATAAGGAGCAGGGAGCCCTGAGTCATGAAGGTTGAGAGGGTACCACCCCCGAGTGAGCCAGGGTCACGGCCTCGGACCAGCGGCCACTGCCCGCTGCACAGGCCTGGGCTCACCCGAAACCAGCAGAGGCTCCTCCCCTCCCCCCCAGGGCTGGACAAGCGACTTCTGGAGAATGACCACGGGGAGAGACGTAGAAATTGTGTCTTAGAGAAAAGAAAAGGCGGGGGGTGGGGTGCGGGGAGGGGGCGGGAGTGAGTGTTGGGGACCAGACACAGCTACACGGCTGTGAAGGCCGACAGGGCTGAGGCCTGGGAGCCCTTCTGAGGGATGTAATCCGTGCCCACAGGCGCTGTGCCCGCTGCTGCGTACCCGTCGGGAGCATGTGCTAGAGGCTCTGTTTGCAAAGCTCCGAAAGGCTCTGAAGTCTCCCCTGTGGCAGAAACCCCTGCCAGGGAAGTAGCTCCAGGGCAGCTGCCTTCAAATCTTCCTGTGGACACTGCCTTGGGCCACAACATGGCAGAGGGATGAAGATGCCAATTGGATTTGACCTCCTTTCCAGAAGATTCCACGGCCACTGGAATCTGAGCTATTTGTTGGCATCAT